CCATGATGGTGTGGCTATCTAAGAGGGACGGGCTAACGGTCATCTCCCTATCTAGGTCCCCACTCGCTAGGCACGTTACACCATCTCTTAAAGTGTGCTGAAGATGTTACGTTCCCAAATTGGGCTAAAACTGGTCTACACAAATATTTAATTATTAATAACTTGAACTGTTTTTTGCTGAAATTTGATTTCTTTGTCCAAGGAAATTTTGACCTAGTTTTAGCTTATTTCTATACATTTAGTAAAATATATCGGTTTTAGATTTTTCTTTATCTTACTTTTGTAATTAGTGTCAAAAAGATGCTGTAAAAGTACATTGAAAAGATAACACACCGATTTAATAACCCTTTTCTGGAATTTGACACATTTGTGGAAATAACATTTGATTTTAAACATTAAATGATATTTAAGTACTTGAGAGAGGCAGGAAATTGACTTTCAAATAAATATTAGCGTAAATGTTTATTTTTTCCTACAAATTCTAGGAGTAATTTTTTTCGAAGTAAATCCGACTCAATAATCAACTTGAATAAAATTACTGGAGATAAATGTTATATTAACATATGTGTAGCAGATTGTCAACTATGATCCACGTAGCGCATATAGACCATCAGATCCAGAATCCTTTTGCAGAACGACACATCTCGGTCATACCTTAAAGCGAAATATCAAGAAAATATTATGGCATTCAATTAATGTTTTGACTATAATTGAATCCTATAAAAAAAATATTTGCATTATTTAATAATTATGAACATCTTACTAAATGTTATCTAATAAGAATAATAATACTAGTAATCAAAATGCACTGAAGATGATTTTGGTCGCTTTTTAACTGAATAAATCCCTAGTGTTAATGACCGTGCTCTGTAATAATCGGGGAGTTTAAACGACGAAATGCAAAGCATAGCCTAAGAAGTATTATTATGTTTACGAAATAGGGCTAACTTGATGTGTTATTATAAAATATCGAAGAATTATTCGATTCCACACAATCAAGCATTCAATAATACGACAGAAGTGAGAAGTTGCAGGGCGAGCATATCGATACAAAAACTTACCATGCAACTAGCTTGATAAGAGACCCACTCTGAAGGGAGAAGCAGGAATGCACGTCTAACACAATCGTGCAGTTGGCAGACTTTACGTCAGCCCCAACGCAAAGCTCATCTTCTGTTTGCCAGAAATCCACTACTTTTGAATGTGTCATGCTTAGAGCTTCGGAGAGAAGATGTGGTACTTCCGTGGTGTTCAGTTCTTTTTCAGCACTTGGAATTTCACATTTTGGACATTCATTAGTCCCATCAGGTGAATCAGATGGATGAGAAGACACGATATTAATTGCGAATTCACTTTTAGGGAGATCAGATTTCGGTAGATCCATGACCTCAGGGCACCACTGTGAGAGAAGCCAACCTGGTTGGCACTTCAAGTGTACAGCTTCAAGGGCCTTTAGGCTGTTACAGTTCTGAAGGACTTTAACGAGTTCATCCGTGTTGTCAAACTTGCGAGCCAGATAACACGTAAAATCAATAACACTGCCCGAGTCTACAGGAACTGAGCAGCCCATTAGACCAATCTTCCTGGCTACTTCAGGCATTGCCTGCGAGATAGTATAAAGAACGTTCTTGAGACTGAATGGAATGATGGATTGTCCAGCTGCACGTCCTAAACGCCATGCCTCAATAAAAAACACGTTAAGATAACACATACTAAACTAAACCAAGAAAAGGTTTTATGCAAGTAATTATGGCCTGAGGTAAGTGTAAAAATGGTAAAATGAAGTATGTAAATCTCCTAAATAAGGTTTTAAGTCAAATGTGTGTCCTGTCTAGAACAAAACACCTACATTTCGGACGCAATGACGCCCATAGAAATAATCGCTAAGCATTTTCGCTATTAATGCTTCACAATCTACACTAGATTTGCATTGGGTGGACAATTTGTCATACCAAACAAGAAAACAACTAAAACTAGCATCTACTTAACAATACGCAGTTGTTTTTAGTATGCTAAATGTCTGAAGAGAATCATACAAAATAGCAAGAAGTCAACAGGTAAAAGAGACAATTTACATCTTTATTATGGCCATCAACAATATTTTGTCTTGGCATGTATCCAGTCAAGATTGTAGTCAGTCCTTCGATAATTCCAAATTCATTTTCAAGAAGGTACAACAAAGTGGCAAACGCCAAGGCATCGGGGCTGCCGGTTGAAACAATTGTGCGGCCTCGCTGATAATTCTGATAATTAATTGGATAAAATATGATAGGAATATCAACTGTGTCACCAACTACAATAACTTTACTTGCACGTCCACCATGCAAGTGCTTCTACAAAAATATAAAAAATAAATATGACCACAAATAAGTAAGTCAAATAATGCTTTGTTTAAGTCTAGAATATGGCATGAGTTATTACTTTTGACCTACTTGTTACAAAAAATTATAAGCCACAAGGCGCATTCCTTGACTTATTTTTTTCTAGTTCTAATTCAACATTCGGTCAAAAAAAATTAGTAATTTGCGACACATTTTAATGCTGTGTGGGTTACAAATGGACTGATCATATACTTGATTGCAATGTCGACTTATGACGGAATAAATTAAAAATAAAACAAGAAAATCATAAAATCCTTAAACATAAGTACAGCGCTGCAATCAAATAACAGATTGTTGTGTAGGCACTACATACTTTCGGATCATATTAGAGTCAGAACCAGCACATAGGCAAAATAATAGTTTAAGGGTAAACACAAGGTAAGGAAACACATATTAAAGGATTAATTACATCAAATTCTGCTACATTATACTGATATAGTGGAAAAACACGTTCACAACTAACTTCAGCATCTTCTAATTTGACCAGATTCTCACTGGCATCTAGTACATACTCAACATCCATCCAATGCCAAGGAATGTTAGCTCTGTCTTTTTTATCAAAAAATGCGATTTTTCGTCCACAGACTTCCAGCATAAGGCAATTAGGAGCATCCGGGTTTGAAGGTTTTTCATAAGTGGCTTTGTTTTTAATTACACCAGGCCATTGCGAATAGGCACTGTTGTACTTAATCAAATACAAATAGAGCTCTGGCGTTACACCAGGGGCATTTACCGCAACAATATCAACTCCACGGTTACTTTCAATAGCGTATCTTAATATGTTTCGAGCAACTGACCCAAACCCATTTATGCCTACACGAAGACGGGGGGGCCTGAATCCTATTAAAAATATAACACGCATACCAATTTAAGGGTCGAAGCGGATCACCACATCTTTTTTCTAAAATGTAAAACGAAAAAAGCTCCTACTCTCTCTTCCATTCTGAGTACATGAGTTTTCGCGGTAAAGTTCAAAAAACAGAACTAGGTCGACACCTCGTTTGGCTAACACAAACAAAGTCATTGCATTTAGTTTAATTAGGCCAGTTATCTATTCATTAGTAATGATTTTTATTTTGTCGATAAAATCAGACTTTAAAGTTCACAAAATGTGTACATGAGAAAGGCAGGAAAATTTTGAGAATCATCCAAATTTTGTGAAATAATAATTCTTCAATAGTAGATGTCTAGTTTGTTTGTATTTAGTCGAGGTATCACTGCACTTCTTGAAACGTGCTAAGATTGATTTAAGACTTGTGAGCTACCACAATTTAGACTTTCGTTGAATTTATCTAATTGCCATAAATATGCATAAAATTCAAATAATTTTGATAAACAGGCTTCAAAACATTGATTTGAAAAGTAACACGTTATTATAAAATAGTATGCAAGTCGTCAAAATGTTAACAATTGTAGGTCCTAAAAAAATATGTCATGTGTTCTGAAACATAAATCAAAATTCAGCGAAAGGCAAGATAAAGGTATTAGAAGTGTATTTTAGTAGGAAAAAGTGTTCGAAAGTGTTTTGTGAAACACTGCACCATTTTAAGGTGGGATGAATTTCATCTAGCCAACTTCGGGTGCGTTGGTTTTTAAGACTGAGTTACCATGGATTATATACACGATCTACATCATGAACATTTGGTTTGAAAACAAATGAGCAGTTTTTGTTTCTACTTCTAAATAGCAAGTATAAAGCTTGCTGTAAATGATAGAAATTCACCTTCAGAATTCCTGCATTGTATCTTTTTTAGCTGTTGGGAAGTCAGCATTCTTGGAGCAAATTGTCTTCATGAAAAAGGAATTGATAAGCCTTCTCTTCATACCATTTATCGTTCCACACAACTGCCCTATACACCGTACACAAGTGGGCTCACCATTTGTACAGACAATATTTGTTCATCACAATTGCAACTCATATCAGCCTGAACCTTTTTTAATATAACAGGTCAATGCAGCCATTGAAATAATCATATGGGCTCATTTAGAGATGGTACACAGCTTGGGACTGAGACAAGGAATTGAATTCAATTAGAACGGGAGGGTGGGACTAGAGTTGGTTAAAGGATCGTTTATCTGAGTAATACCGGTTAATGGCAAATCAATACATTGGTTCAAAAACTATGACTGTGTTTCATTACTACATCGGAAAGTACAGATTTTTTAACTTGGAATTAACCAGGCTTAAAGTTTGTAATAATTTGAAAAAAAAACGTTTTAAACATGGTCACTGAATAGTACCTAAAAAGTAAACCTTTCCAAGTTCACTTAAAAATGCAACTCCGTTATCCTATATTGTAAACAAGACTTTGATTTTTTGATTTTTTTTAAACCATAGCAAGTTTGTCCTACTAGGAAGGTATTAGCAATAACGCACTAATTCGAAATTCTAAGAACATGCAGTTTAAACGTGTCGATCTCTTTTCCCCTTTCTGCTTAGCTTCATTTAGAGTGAAATCCATGTGACGACAACCGCGGTCTACCAAGGCGCAAGGTCACGTCCAGTAAACTTGGGATATAAATTGGAAACATTAGGGGTTTTTTTTTACAGCAAAGCAAATTCAAATCATTAGAACTATTTTTTTTTAAATTTAACCGACTTAATTTATTAAAAGATTTTTAAGGTTAGTTAGTTATAAGTAAAAAGGTACTTACCTATCAACCTAAGATATCACTTCGTAAGCACTGCACTATTTTTGCATGGTAAGAATTTATTTTATAAGCAATGTGAGCAGACTATATACAGAAACATGTCTACTGTCATAAACAAGGGCACAGATTTTCAATTATAAGAAATATCCATTTTCTCAACTCACTTTTTGCAACCAAAATCGATAATATCTGCTGAGAACAATGCCAGTACATTTGAAGATTAAAAAATTGGAGAAAAGTGAGGTACTATGAGATATACTGTGGCAAAATAGACCAGTCTGAACGAAACAAAGATATGTACATAAAATCTCGTTGACATCTGCAATTTGCACAAGCAGATTTTTTGGAGAAACAATACTTTTAAAGTGCTGGATCACAAAGAAACGAAACATTAGACAAAGTGGTATTTTTAAGAAATTTGTATATTATCCCACTGCATCTTTGAGAATCTTTTGCTTCACCATCGAGGTCATGCTTGGTGACACAACTAAAAAGGTTGGGTCGAAAAAAATGTGAAGCTAGTCATTGAACACCTAGGTTCCTTTTAACATTTTTAATTCTCTTTAGCACTAATGACCACTCAGCATGGTAAATGACCACGTCCTACTTTAAGCAGTAGCAGCATCAACATTGAGATAAATTTAGTGAATAAACAGCCATAAAATGTTAAGTGGCCTGATCATGTTTCTTTGGCTTCCATTGGACTGTTCCGTTGTGCACGTGACCAAACAGTCTTCAGCATTTTGAAACTTCCGTTTAATAAGGTAAAGATTTGGCCAAATATCTGTTTTAATAGGAAATAAGAAGCCGAAGCAGGTCATTGAGAGGCTTCATAACTTCGGAAATTGCGGTGGTGTGTTTGTTACATTTAACCTTTTCCCTTTAATACTTATTTATGTTGGTGTGTGTTGCGACTAAATTAAGAAGTTGTGTGAATGAAACTGAAAGCGCGTGCAGATTAGGCATAAAAGGAGCGTACTCTACAGCCTCGTCCAAATTCAATTAAAAAAGGAAAAACAGAATTAGTTGAAATGCCAGAAATTTAAACTTTCATTTATAAAATGCAAAACCGCAAGCCACAGAAAAGACAGATATGTAAAATAACTCTTCTACTGGTTTGGAGCAAAGAAGAATCAACTAAAACTGACCATTTGCCCTATTTATATATTTATTTTCTGCTAGTTTCCATTTTTGTTTAGCAAATTATTACCTGATAAAAATTGATTTAATTTGAGAAAATACAAACTTGCAGAAAAAGGACCTTTTTTCAAATTCTACCCATAACTTGGCAGAACATGGTAAAACTAAATGAAATTAAATTTTGACCATTTCTATTTTGTTTTGGTATCATTTCATACCAACAATAAATTACAAATAACGCCTGATTTGACGACATTTCAGTAACCAGAAGTTGGTGCTGAAGATATTATTGCAGGCGAAATGTATGGGTAGTGATTTGTAGTTAAAATCACTAACCAATAGAAACAAGAAATGCTGCATTATTTTGATACGGATTGCCACAATTTACTTTTATACAGGAAATCTACTAAGTTACACAATTACAATACCAAATATAATTTTGTCAATAAGGCTAGAAGGTTGGTTTAAGTAATGCTTATGACTTTGAACATGTTCCTGTGAATTTATTTCAGCATTAAAAGAAATGCAAGTAGAATATGCCCTACAATTCTAAACAGCAAAGGTTATTTATTCAATTTTAGGTTTATTCTGGTAGGGATCGAGAGGAAGCTCATTGCCGGGAATTCGATCAATCGATATTTTGCTTTTATGAGACAAACTTTGATTGTGATTCACATTTTACTTTGTCAGGGCATGTTTAATATTAACTCAAACAGCTGATTAATACTTCTTTTGGTCTCAATGCACAAAACATTGCCTATTTTATGTCACTGAACATTGGATCATGCTGTTCACCCACCTGTTATCAGTCTAACAAAGATCTATTTTGGAAAAAGTACACCACTTCTAAAATAACCAAGAGATAGTTCTCACTACATGTGTCACAAAAGCTAGCTTTACAACTATGAAACTTAGATTTAATCCAAATTAGATATTGGCACACAATCTAAACAAACAAGCAAAAATGTTTGAACCCTTCTGATTGCTCTGGGCCTGCCGCATAAAATTCATGTGGGTTTGAGTTGACGAAATTTGACTAGTTTGTGTTTTCGTATAGAACGCTTGTAACAGACTTATTGGTTGGGCAATCGTCTCTCTCGGTGAGTTGAAGTAAAAGTTCATTTAGAGTTAGTGAGGTCGAAGCAGTCACAGATTCTCCGCCACGTCGTCCACAGGACAACAACCAGCGGAGAATGACCTCGTACTCTCGACACGTCGGCTTCAGATACAGCCATAGTTGGCTCTCAGTGCGACTGAGCCAAGCTTTTACACTCTCGAACTCCTGCTGACGGAGCTGCGTCAGAAGTTGCAAAGGGGGGAAGCAATTGGGTCTAGGGGACTCAACAGAATTCCGCGTTTGGATTACTGGGGGATGTTTGTCTGCAGCACGACTCCGTCCGGATACGTCTAAAAATTTGCGCAATGAATCGGTATTTTCCCATTTGGCATCTTCGGTGCTTGACCTTATCTGTATAGGTGGAATTTCTTCGACATTTTGGGAAAGCGATGTACGATATATGTGCTCTTCAACAGGTGTTAGCGGAGTAGGCTCTTCAAGTGATGGGGATGGAGTCGTTGACATATCGACCCCAAAAGTCGCAGATGAGCACCTAAAATCAGAGACATTTTCACATATAAGTCTATCGTTGACGCCGTACAAGCAAGTTTGAGAGCAGGACAAAATATTAATGATCAAATTTAATTTTACATAGACTATATCAGAGACCAAAACTCAGGTGACCTAGAGTCGATGCGCGTTCTAATGAAAATGGTGTTGATTAAACTGCTCATAAGGTCTATCCGGATATATTCATAGCAAATTAACGATTAGAAAAAAAGCCTCTAACATTAAGTTTTTTATAAGTACTAAGCAAGTATTAATAAATAACATTTAATTTATTCCAAATCTAGCTGAAATATTGCAAATAAATCAAATGGGAGACGTGCCCGCTAAACTTGAAGAATAACATGACCAGAAAACATGGCAAACAGCAGTAACTTCAGAAAATAAACCTGGTCTTCAGTCTCAAGGCTGGTGACGATGCAACCAATGAATACACCACTGGAAAACGGTTGTAAATCGACCCTGCCAACTGTTAAAACCTTTGAACAGCAAAGTCTGAAATCGTGGCAAAAATGCATACTTGGACTTCTCGATGACTGGGCTTTAGACTATTTTGGGACCCCACATCCAAGCCTTATTCGTTTTTGAGTAGATACAATATGCCATCTAAATGAGTTCCTCAATCCGCAAGAAGATTCCAACGAATTTACTATTGATTGTTAGCATTTTGTTTTCGGTTAACAAACTCATATTAGCCATTACTTCGTTGGTGAACATAGGGAATCTCTGATGTCATATTCTGTCACACGTCAAGAGGCAAATGAAATTTTCAACTTGGTGGTAATATTTGCCATTCGAATTGAGCATGAAACAGAAGGTAGGGATTAGGTAACATAACTACCTGGCAACGTTGTTATTGTCTGAAGATCGTTGGAGCCAGAGATTCGGCTGCGACAGCTTTCGGTAGTACCAAGGCAACTTTGGAATTTCAGTCTGATTTGCAGGCTTCCTAGTACCGTAAAATAATAACAGCATCCAAAAGGGAAATCATGTGTACATGAAACGTTCAAATTAGTGAGGATGCCAAGGCACGAAATGAGTACTCAGTTATTAATGAATGCAGTGAATAATCGCGATTTGTTTAAACAAGAAAAAAAATTGCAACGCTTAAGCATTGTGAGGGACAGCAGAGGCCAGTGAGTGAGCCCCCGACTGCCTTGACTGCGGCTGCCTTCTTTAACGAAGCACGCTGCTCACGCCCCGATCCAAATTCAGATAACACACCCCACTCTTCTTTCGGGCCTTCAAGTCTGGTAGGTTATTGCACATAATTACTCTAATACTTATGAAACAAGTAAAAGTAAGACGACACGGCAATGTCTAACTTTCAGTCCTGCGCGTAACAACTTGAAAAACTTGAGTAACTTTCTAAATTAGGTGTTCCGTAGATTACCTTACTATCCATTCATTTGAAAAAAGCCGAGCCTTGTCAAGAATGCAAGGTAAAACGTGTCAATAAAAGTACAAAGACAAGTTCCACGACAAAATTTCCAAACCCATTCCCTCGTCACAGCCGGATCCAACGCAAGCAAAGATTTATTTCGGCCACTGGGTTTTACAACCAAAAGCACCACCGGCATAGTAAAAAATGGCCATTTGTATCAACAAAACAGAAAACGAGGAATTCATCTGTCAGGTCTCCCTCCATGGCTAGTCCTTGGACTTTTTTATAGAAACTATTCACCAAAACACTAATGATTACAAAGTCATTTATCTGCCCTGATTGACCTCCTCCCGTGGGGCCTAGCTAGCTGATATAACGCACTGAACAGTATAGCAAAAATAACTTTTCTACTTTTGCTGGCAAAGGCAGTTCACGGTTTAATATCATAAACGCTGGTGATTCGCTGGAAGAAGAACGAACATTATACCTAGATGCGTGCGGGTAGATGGGAAATGCCATATTTTAATGGTTATATAAAGAACGTACAACACCGTCTTAATACCAATATTTTGCTTTTAAAATAAATTCACACATCAAATAGACTGTTTAGAAGCTTATTTACAAGCTGCTGTTAAGGGCATTTTAGTCTGGCATAGGTCTGTTTATTGCACCTCCTAGTTCTTGACTTGACCACACATAGCATGGGCGTTAAGAATCAATTATAACTTCCAAACCTTCAAGAAAATAAAAGCGGTAGTTGCTTAACGTTAAAATTCATTTATTGTTGATTACCATAGCATCACAAAACACCTACGAGTAAATGATAATGCGTTACACCATGAAACTTGAGTTGACGCATTACCTGCAACTTAAAACAGGGTTTTGGACCTTAATTTTTGGAAATCCTAAATGGTAAATGGGAAAGTGGTGATGAATAGGTTAGGTCCCTATACCAGAGACCTTGCTACCAGGAGGGTTTGAATATTTAAATTTGCATCTGAATTTAACGGGGTACAAAGTGCTATCTGAAGTGATCTCCTAAATGAGCAAAGATTTATGAACAAAACTTTTTTACATGTTCGTTTAATGAGTAAACTGCTAATGCACATGATTGATTTCATATACTGGAATCAAACGTAGTCTTTGTAAACATTTTATACAGTTGAGTTCTTTTAAATGAGAACTTTCAAAGTCATTTGGCTCTGTTATTCTACCGTAACGTATTGAAACAAACACGGACATTTATGGAGCAGCCTTTAAATGTGCTGACCTTATAAATTTGGGTAACTAAAATAAATATAACCGACGTACCTTACTCTAATACGTGGGTAGGTTAAGTTTTGTTGTTCATCCGTCAAGTTACCAAATGGCAAATGGTTTTTTTCTGGTGTCTGTGCGGATTCAAGCCTAAAATGACAAAGTGTCGCATTCGATTAAAATATGGAAATATACCAAATTCGCAACATGCTAGGTTGATCAAAGCGTTCGCAGCAATCATGCTTTACTTTGGCGAGTAACAGATAAGATCTATTTCAAATGTTTTATTTTTATTAGCGGGCAATGCATATTTATCGCAGACGAGACCATTGAACCCAATAGTCTGCATCACAGTTACCCTCTAAAACGAACTGAATGGGTTCACCAAGACATTGCTCAGTGAATGTCAGCCGTCACCTCTTGTCTTCTGTGTCTCGATTCAACATTTTCAACTTAAAAACCTCCTACTACGAGCAGTGTTCCAAGTTGGATAATAGTGAGTGTTTGTTACAAAAAGCAAACATTTCACTACACATGCATGGCAACTGCGCAAGCTTAAGACCAGGCTTTTTATTTTAGACGAATTAAATTTTAAAACTCGACAATCTCTTTTGGGAGCTCTGAATACACATAAATGAACTCTTTCCACAACTTGATACTACAACTCTAGCTACTTCGCATCTCGATTTTGGGATACACAGTGTGTTGACACTTCTCCTTTGAACAACATATAGAGGCAGAGAGATTGATCTGGCAATACGACTGAACTTGGGTGACGTCACTAGAATGAATTCAACCATGTTCCGACCTGAGGTTCTCGGTTGGCTTTACCAAACACAGACTTATCACTTACTGTGGACCAACTGATTATAGAAAAAAACCGATAACTACTGACAAAACGGTTCCATTTATTCTGTAAAACCTTACTGGGCCTTACTTACACTACTCATAGTAACCTCAAGGGATAAAGTTGACAGCTGCAATCCAGACAAAGACATGTGCCTGTCGTCAACGTCGATCACCCGGAGAACTTTAACTGTAGAACGTGGTATTTACTTGGTACGACAGCTATTATTGACCCAATTATCACGATTATTTTTGGAATAGATGGCCTTCATATAACTAAAAAACCGACTTCAGTAAATTAACCAACAGCCGATTAGCAATGGGGTACTCACGTCCTCTACTCATTTGTTTATAGCAGTTTGACTACCTTTTAACTGCTCTCTCTGTTTTCGGTTGAGTCCAAGTTCTACCGTTATTGAGTAAAAATGCTAACGAATCATTTCTGAGTGTGAGTCCCCAAATCATAAGTGCCTTGCGTACAATAATACTGCATTCGTTCACAAGAAACATTTGATTCGCTCCGACAATTGCCTGACTGCCTAACGCCAAGTGCATTAATTAACGTAAATTTCGCCAGCTGACTTAAAATGAAGTACAGGTGGCAGTTTCAGGAACCACAGACGACAAGTGGCACAAACGCTCAGTTAGTGGTACTAAAAAGCGTAGAAAATCAAGAAGCGAACTGTTGCAGAATCGACAGTTGACACTTTTTGACACAAGAGGACATGCACTTTGTTGAAGCTAGCAAGCTGTGACGTCCAAAAAACAACACTTTTGTAGAAACATGTTTTGAGTAATGTGTGAACAGTAGTAATGATGAAGCAATAAATTACTTGAATTGGCTTCGCACTAAATAATCTTGTTGAAGTATTCAACCGACTTACTTGAACACGCTATCAAAGAAGACGGCGTCATTCTTAAGCTATGAACATGACGATGCTAATTGAATTACTCAACTTGTATTTTCCTTGTAAGCGCAGCCTTAAAGGTGGCTTTGCTTAAAGCACCCAGAATAGTGTGCAGAAATGCTCAATCGTGAAACTACAGTGTGTCAATGGATATAAATTCGAGATTTATTCCTGACGTCAAAACAATTAAAATACTGCTTAAAATTAGGTTGATGCAGCGACCTAAGACATAGTTTGACCAAATACGTGATCTACAAGGTCTTCATTATGTCTAGTTAATCACATCAGAGTTTTGAGTTGATTGTTTGTGCACAAATCATTAAACAGTCGTCATCGGTTTCAACAAAACAGTTAGGGACTTAATCTAGTTTAATCGTACACATCAAGATGTCCAATGAACCAAATTGGGAGTAAAAAATACGCAATTTTTTTAGCCGAAGGTTGAGTGGCTAACCGTGTTTCCGAACAAGGCAAATGACAAACTAATGAAGAATTGGAGTGAGGGAGGGTAGGGCGCAGTAAATGTTTATTTACATTGCAAAAATCGAGAATGCCAAGTTTTC